AATATATATATATATATATATATATATATATATCAGCCAGGCATAGTGGTGTGCATCCATAGTCCCAGCTACTCGTGAGCCTGAGGCACAATGATCACCTGACGCCAGTAGGTCGGTGAGCCATGCTCATGCCACCGTACCCCAGCCTGGGCCACAGAGGGAGACACTACCTCAGAAAAAAAAATAATTAAAATAATTAAAAATAATAAAATGGAACATGAGGAGTGTTCTTGGTGTAGAAGGAAAACTAATCTATGGTGCCACAAGTCAGAACACTAGCTTCCCCTGGAAGAAGGGGATACTGAGCAGAGGAGGCACGAGGACACCTTTTGGGGCTCAAAATCCCACCGGATCTGGGCAGTGGCTAAATGGGTCTATGCAGATGTAAAAAGTCACTTAAGGACTGTATGCTTCTGTGTGAATGTGTTGTCCCTCAGGGAAAAAAATTTAAATGTATGCCAAGAAGAAAGGAAAAGATCTCAAAAGTTGAATCTTAAAATCTGTATCTTAACCAAATCCAACAAAATATCTGAGGAGGAAAAGAAACAGAAATAGTGACTCTGTTCCCTCTGAGTGGTGGGATGACAGGCAAAAATTTTTTTTAATTTTTCAAAAGGTTTCCAAACTTGTGTAATAATCTCCTTTTATAATCAAAAAAACAAAGTGCTTAGTTAAACCTAAGCATAGACTCCAGGGTGAGACACTTTGCGACCTGTCCCTAGTCTCATGTACATCCTGGCAGTGGAAGAAGAGCCCTTCCAGCCTCAGGACCATCTCGTTGGCGCCAACTGGCAGAGCTCACCGTCTTCCCCGAGGGTGCGTCCCACTCGCCCCTGCGCACCACGCCAAAGGAGCCGTCGCCCAGTTTCTCCAAGAGGCGCAGGTCCTTCTCCCCGATGAGGCAGGTGAGGCTCTGCAACGGCCCCTCCCCTGCTGGGCCCCCTGGGGTGGGTGAGGTCTTCCGGAAGGTGCTCTGAGAGTGATGAGGGGGGAACTCAGCCTCCAGTCGCTTTCCACTGAACACCTGTTTGAAGGCAGCCAGGCAGATGCAACCCAGAGCCCAGAGCCAGTCACTAGGTCCCTCAGAGGTGCTGGGTCCACCTGTGGTCCCTGGCTCAGTCACCAGGGGACAGCCTGGCAGGAGGCCCATACTCCCTCCAGAGTACCCCCCAAACAGGAACCCACGGCCTCAGGGTAGGTACTAGAAACAGACTGACAGGCATGCAGCCTGTGGCTGCTGTGGCCCCACACCCAGTCGCGGAGACAGGGATAGTTCAAAGCCCATCAGGCACCACACACACTAAGGTCTGAGTCTCCTCCCAGTGCCTCTGCCCCACCTCTCCCTTCCTGTACCCCCTGCCCAACACAGACTCCAGCCTTAACCCGCATTGATGGGGCAGGAGCCTGAGGGGCCCTCCACAAACACCTCCTTGTCCATTTTTAGCCCTGGCCCCTTCTCTGGGCTGACCATTTGGTGCTGTCTGTCTCCAACCTCCCTAGGGAGTCGGCTGCCCTTCATCCTGCCCAGGGGAGAGGATAATTTTAGTCTGAGGTTGAACCGTGAGTGCGTGTGTGTGGTTCAGATGAAGCTAGTCTTTGCTGGGGAAGGGCCCGGGAAGACAGCTGGGTTTCTGGAGGGGCGCCTAAGCTGAGGGAGTGGGGAGGACTCTGAGGCCCAGGCTGGAGAGGGAGCGGGGCGTAGGTCAAGGGACCAGAGGAAGGAGGCCATGTGGGTCAGAGCTGGCACACCTGTCTGACTCGGCCACCTCCCCTGGGGCACCCAAAGTCTCAGTTTCAGACTGCAGACTTCCCAGTTCGAGCCCCATAGCCCCAAAGTCGGCAGAGCCTTATCCATATGGACTAGGGGTGTCTCAAATCCAAGGGCCTCTCCTGGCCTCTGCTCTGTCCTTCCTCCCAGTAACTGGGATTCCTTACGTCTGCAAGCAACGTTCTGGCTGCAAGGCCCTTTGCAGTCACTACCTCGGGGCCCTCTCCACAGCCCAGGTGAGCTGGGCAGGGAGGGCAGCATCTGAAGACATGACTCAAGTCTGAAGGGGTCACTGCTACCCAGGGATCTACCACGAGCCAGTGAATCCTGGCAAACCATACTGCTCTTCTCTCCTGCCCTCAACCTCCTCCACATGTCATCCTTCCCTAAAACCTGGGCAAGGGACCAGGACAGCGTTCCCAGAAAAGGTCCCAGGATCCCAGGAGACGGCCCCTTTGCCGAATTGCAGTCAGAAAATCTCTGCTGCCCAATCCCAATCCAGCTGTTCTGCCCTGCCTATCACTCACCCCAGCCCTGAGGCCAGAAGTGGGGAGGGAAGGCCGTGGCTGGCTCACTTCCTCTCTCATTGTCTTCCAGACAATGGGCAAAGTTCCACTGAGTCAGACCAGGGACTCACTACACCACAGACCCAAATTAGGACAGTGGGGGGGGGTGAGGGCAGGCTGTAGGGGAAGGAAGCTGTCAACAGGGTCAGATGACCAGACAAGCCTAGAGACTAGAGGGAGAGGGAGGAGGGGAGTAAAGATGTCCTGGGCCAGACAGGCCTTGCCACCCTACTCTGGACACTGGCCCCAACACTCAGACAGAGCAAGGCTAAGTTAAGGCGTACTTGTCAGCGAGTTCCTGCTCCAGGCACTTGGAGAGGGTCTGTGAAGACCTCCCTGCACACAGGCTGCTCACATGTCTGTATCTGGCGGAGACAGACACTTAGCTGGGCAGCTCTACAAGTGCCCTGCCCGATAAGACCCCGGAGGAGGGAGGCCTGGACAAAGTGCGATGGGACATGGCGAGATTACACCTGCCGGGGAGCGGGGGAAGGCTCCTAGGACTGAGAGCAGAGCCAGGCCCTTGAGGCTGCCCCTCCCCATTCCTCACCCACCTTGCTCATCCACGACTTGCGTTTGCACATGGCTTTCCTTCTCTTCACGGCCTCCCACAGCCGCCGCTGGCCTGCGGGGAGACAAGGGGAATGGGGTGGTGATAAGACAGCTCACCGCCCCTAGAGAGGCTGCAGCCCACCCCGTGGGCTTCCTCTGTCCCCACCAGATATTGCCCAGCATGATGATGCCAATGAAATCAATCCCGACTAACCAGGAGCCTCAATGGACCAGATGGTCCCTACATTCCACTTCTAAGCAGTGGTTCTTGAACTGGATGGAGGCACCTAACCACAAACAGGAATAGTAGTGGTCTCTTTCAGCTCTCAGGAATGAGCAAGGTAATGGGTAGGATTTTCTCTGGGTAGGGTTTTCTCAATTCTGAGGGGTTTTTTTCCCCATAAAATTTTCTGATGCTACTGGCATTAGACATCAACTATCCAAGCCAAAACGGCATTAAGTCGGTGTTTAATTTAGCAATTACCTAGTTAGCAATTTTAAGTTGAATTTTCTAATAGGTTTCTAATGTTCTATGAAGAACACCATGACTTCTAGATGCTACAGCCCCTACTTTTAGTTTAAATACAAAGATAAGAAATGAGTTAAATCTGCGTTGGGGGGAGAGCAGAGGAGGGGAAGGAGAGGGGAGGGAGGAAGAGACACAGGGAAGGAGCACAAACCATCTGAGAGTTTGTATCTTTCTTCTCTACAGGCCTCTAGACATTGTCCACCCAGTGTTCAGAACATCAAACAGATGCTTATAAAAGAGGGGAAGATCGAGGAAATACACCCTACAAATGTCAGAACGAACTAGTGAATCCCGAGCAGCCAGAGCTTTAAGTAAGACCATCCTCCTCAGACTCCATTCACCTTCACACCTGCAAACTGTTCTCACTGTACTCCTGCTGCAGCATCCACGGAGTCCCTCCTACCCCACCCCAGGCAGACAGCATTCTCAGCTGCCACCCCGTGGAGTAAATCTGGGGGGGCTTCCTCCATGTGCTCGGTCATCCTTATGAACTCTGGGGGTCGTGGGGGGGCGGGGGGCAAGGCCAATGTTCCACCTACCAGGTCGACCCATGCCAATCTTCTCCAGATCCTCGTTCTTGACATATTCAAAATGGGACAGGCGGGTAATGTTGAGGTCATCGCGGAGCCGCAGGAAGTACTGCTGTAGCTGCACCTCGGACAGTAGCTCCAGCAGCCAGCCTGTGCCCTCCTCCGGCTGCATGCTGCTGCTCCCCAGCCTCTGTGGGAGGGGAAGGGCGGTTCAGGGACAAGGGCTGCAGGGAGGCAATCGGGGCCTGCCCCTGAGTGTCCTGGGCTCGCACATCCTACACAGTGCTGCCTGGAAGGATTTATACCACCTTCTTGCTCCTAAGAACAGCTCTACAGAACAGCCTGTACTCGCTTCCCCCCAGTCTTCCAGCTACAAGGGAGGAGTTGGGTCTGATTCCCCAAATCTGGGATCTGTGGCTGAGTGACTTGAGGTCAACCCGTCTATGCCCATGTCTTTAAAGTCTCCAGATCTTAAAGTCTCTAGGGGCCACAAGCCCTTTGAAAATCTGATAAAGGGCACCCACTCGGGTCCCCTCCCACTGTGGGAGCTTTTCTGTCCTCTTAATAATCCAGTTTTCCAAAAAAAAAAAAGAAATAAAATCTGATAAAAATGAACGGTCACATTCTTACTCCTAAAGTTTTAATAAAGTTTTTTTGGGGGTGCAGTATCCCCTGAGACCTGCCCATGGACTCCTGAGATCTGATGGATCCCACAGAGAGATCTCAGTACCAGATGAGCTCAAGGCTAAGTTCCTCCCAATGCCAGATCCTCTCCCAACAATCCAAAGACCGCTCTACAGCCACAACTCAAGTCCCTATGGGGCCATAGCATGTGTGAGTCAAGAGGGAAGGGTGGGGACTGGGGAGGCTTTCAGACCAAAACCCAACAGGGAGTTTAGCTCCTGTCAACGACTGTCACAGGAGACTACGGCCAGTGTTGTCAAAGCTTTCCATTTCTTTCCAAGAAATAACAGAAATGTGAATTTATATGTGAAATGTCACCATTATTTTTTTTTCTTAAAAGGTGACAACCTATGCACATGGTAAAATATTCAAAAGGCATACAGGAGCCATAAAGTCTCAATCCCTCCCCGGCTACACGGCCGCCTTGCTCCCCATCCCCAAGGCCAGCTGTCAAAGATGTCTTTTACAAACCCTTCCAGACTGTCTCTCCCCTACACAAATACACATTTCCTGTGCCATTCTGCTTCTTGTTTTCACTTAACATTATATCTTTCACCTGACTTTTTAATGTCAACTAGTTCAAGTTTGAAATACACACACACACGTGCACACACATACACTGTGCTGGCCAAATAAAACACATCTGCAGGCCACAATCCGCAAATGGGTACCAGTGAGTGGCCTCTGACCTCCATGCTCTTGGGCCCAGAAAAATAGGCTGGTGGCACCTTCAAAGCTAAGCAGGCTGACCCACTGGACACCAAACCCATTCCTGTCCAAATAAGACATTTCAGAGCCGAGGGCTTGGCCAGGCCAGCCCCTGGACCATGCTCAATCCCCAATGAGGAAGACAGGCACAAGGAAAAAGGCCAGCTGTCTGGCTAGGGGCCAAGCCATCCCCCTGCCCAACTGAGAGGTGGTCTCTTCCCTTTTGCCTCACAGAAAGATGCACTAAGAGAAGCAGGCACGCACAACCCAGGCCCAGCGTGAGCCTCCTGCCCTCACAGTTCCCAGTGGTCCTGCCAACAGTGCCAGTTCAGACTTTCCCAGGCAGCCAGGGGAAGTACAAAGAGTGACAAGCAGGAATGAGAAACCCTCAGTTCAAATCCTGGCTCTTCCACCAAGGCAACTGGGCCAGGCAGCTGGGCCAGTCAGATCCTTTCCAAACTTGAAGCTGTAACCCTTTCTTTGGATGGTTCTCGTGGAGGCTGCAGAGCCCCCAGAGGACAATTTTGGCTGTCACTATGTTTGGGGGGCACATTTAGTGGGTGGTTTTGGGACAAGAACATGAATTTTCCTACCATGAACAGGACAGTCTTACACACTGTCCAAAATCCCACACAACTCAATTCATGCAGGTGGGAACTTATTTATAATTGTGAAAACCTAGACTCAAATCCCACATATGACCAAGAAAGTACTTCTATAGTTTCAGTATACGCTAAATGTGCCTGGAATGGAACAGCTGTGTAAACCAAGGGGAAAATGAACTCTGCTTTGTTCAGGACACAGCAGAAGTCCATTGTTTAGAAAAATGTCAGTGAAGGCAACCCACTCTTATGACTTCAAGACTCCCCTCTCAGGCAGCACTTGCAGGTGTTACCTTCATGGTGTGTCTACCCGAGGTCTCAGAATCTGACTGCTCATTATGTCATCTAGTGTGCCAGGTGTGGTGGCTTATACCAGCAATCCCAGCATTTTGGGAGACTGAGGCAGGAGGATGGCTTGAGGCCAGGAGTTTGAGAGCAGCCTGAGCAACATAGTGAGATCCCTGTCTCTACCAAAAAAATTAGCTGGGCATAGTGGTGTGTGCCTGTAGTACTAGCAGCTTGGGAGACTGAGGAGAAAGGATTGCCTGACCCCAAGAGGTCAAGGTTGCAGTGAGCCATGATTGTGCCAAGAAAGTACAGAGTGACACCCCAACTGAAAACAAAAGAGAACACAACAAATGTCATAAATTACTTTCCTTTTATCTCTCCTTTATACTGTAGTCGGCATAATGTTGTTTGACTCTATATATAGAGTTAGTAAGTATATTTCTATTTATTTAAGAACAGTAACAATAAAAATCACACCTATCACTTCAACTACAGTTACTATATGCCAGGCACAGTTCCAAGCATTTTGTGTATTAACTTATTTATCCTCTACAAAATCATCTGTTTACAAAAAAAGGAGGTGTGGGACTGAAGAGGACAGAAGAAAGCCCATAGGTGCACTGTGAAATCACTGGCTTAGGCAGTTTCTCCCCACGGCCTGGCAAGGCAGGGCCAGCTTACACTTCCGCCACCGCTGCCCTGTCCCCTGGAGCAAAGTGGTCCCACTCCTACAAGGCTCAGCCTTAAGATGGCTCCTAGCCCCCAGCAGGGCAAGCAGTCTGTGCCCCCTCCTCTTCTTCGGCACCCCCCAAGCCCCAGGGTTCCAACCTTCCCATTCCTACCCTCCTCTGGGCTCCTGAAAACAGCTCAAAGCCTTGTCCTGGTGGTCAGGGCTGGGCGAGACCCAGAGCCCCCATCCCCAAAGCTATTCAGAAAGCACAGGCTAGCCTGCTCCTTTTCCCTGAAACACCCGCTAACAAACCTCCCCACTCAGCTGTACGCCCCCTCCCTGTCCCCCGACCCCAGCAACAAGGCTGCTCTGCGTAGGGGGACTGTGTGGGAAGACTGGGAAGAACACTGGGATCCCAATGAGGGAAGGAGTCAGGGTGCCAGTCCAGTTTCCACTGTGAAGCCCAGGGCGACCCCGATAACCTCCCCTCCCCAGCTCCCCCTCCAGCCTGAGTTTCTTTGTGAAGCACAGAGCATGGCTGCAACACTCCCCCCAACCAGATGGCCTCAGATAGTCTCCACTTTTGCGTGTGCCTGGCCCCTAGCACCACGCAGGATCTGCACACCTGTGCCTGACACCACTCTGTGGTCAGTGTGCAAGTGTGCACTTTTCTTTCTAACCAGGAAGAATTAATGCAGCAGCCGAAGAGAAGGCCACTTGGCCAAGACCCCAGTCAAGCCCTCACTGGAGATTTCCTCGGCCCATTCCCAGTCCTGCTCTCTGCCCCTCAGTCAAGCGCTGGTGTTAAGGAGTCAGCCGGGTCCCCAGCCAGTCAGGCCCCTGCCTCAGCCCCTCACTCACTGTGTACAGGCGTCGTCGCAGTCTAGCCAGGAGAGGGAAGGAGAGTTCTAGGCCAGGGAACCGACGAGCCGCCGGCATCTCCTCAGAGCTGGACCCCTGAGCAGCACTGGGGGCTTTGGCCCAGGAAGTGGATGAGCAAGGGTCTCAGCTCCTGAGATTCACACTCTGCCCAGAAGGGAAGTTGGCCAGGGGTCTGTCCCAGGAGTCGCCCAAATCCCACACTGGGGGCAGGAAATGGGGCAGAAGAACGGGGTGGGCCCTCTGTTCTGCTGCAAGCACGGCTGGATTTCCACAGCTGGCCAGTCTGGCAAGGAACAGATTAGATCTTCTCCTGCTGGCTACAGCCTGGGTCCTCTGTCCTGCTTCTCTGTCGTCTCTCCAGTGCAGTGGTCACAGCTCCAGCCCCGCTCCCTGGCTTCCCC